CCTGCCTCCGCCTCCCAAGTAGCTGGGACCACAGACGCCCGCCACAACGCCCGGCTTTTTTTTGGTTGCAGCCATCATTGTTGTTTGGCGGGTCCGGGTTGGGGATTCGAACCCGCCACCTTAGGTGTACGTGGCTGGCGCCTTAGCCGGTTGAGCTATAAGCGCCGAGCCGCCCCAAGGGTATTAAACACCACATCCGGACCCCTTTCATCTCACTTTCCATGCTTCTTTGCATTCTTCAAGTCTCAGCTCAACTGCTAAATCCAAATAGAAACCTAGACAGAGTCCCAAAGGTAGGAAGAAAAATTTATGACACTCAATTTCCCAGATAGGTTGAACCAAGAAAGGTCTGCACCAAGACACATTATAATGAAATTATAAAGTTAAAGATAGAGAATACCAAAAATAGCAAAAGAAAGGCTTCACATGCAAGGGAATATCCACAAACCATCAGTAATTTCTCAGGAGAAACCTGAAAGATGAGGAGAGGATAATATATTCAAAATATTAAAAGAAAAAGTGCTGCCCTGGTTAATTTTCTGTTGCTGTGACACCATACCACAGATGGAGTAAATTATAAACAACTGAATTTTATTTTGCTCATGGTTCTGAAGGCTAAGAAGTCCAAGAACATGGCACCAGCATTTGGAGAGGTTCAACAATGGCTGAAAGTGGAAAGCAAGGACAAGTATGCAAGACAGAAAGAAGATGGGGGCTAAACATCATATTTTTGTCAAGAGCCAACTTCTGCAATAATAGTATTAATCTACCCACTTTTTAAAGACTTCACCTCTTAATATTATTACAATTTCAACTAGATTTCAATGAAAATTTTGGAGAAGACTGTCAAAGCATAATGACTGCCAACCAAGAATATGAAACCCAGTAAATCTGTCCTTCAGAAATGAAGGAAAAATAAAAATTTTCCCAAACAAAAGCTAAAAGACTGCTAGACCTGCTTTATAAGAAATGCAAAGAGAGTTCCTCAAGCTGAAATGAAAGACTATTCATTAACAATATAAAAACATATGAATGCAGAAGCCTCACCGGCAATGGTAAATACATAGTTAAAGTCAGAATTCTTTAATACTGTTGTGGTGCAGAAATGACTTTCAACCAGTGTGTATATATTCTAACCATAATAATTTATTATTAGACATAAATATTGAAAAAGACATAAATTGGGTGGTGCCCAATTATGTGGCTCAATGGGTAGGGTGCCAGCCCCATTTACTGAGAGTGGCGAGTTCAAACCCAATCCCAGCCAAACTGCAACAAAAAAAATAGCTGGGTGTTGTGGCAGACGCCTGTAGTCCCAGCTACTGGGAGGCTGAGGCAAGAGAATTGTCTAAGCCCAGGAGTTAGAGGTTGCTGTGAGCTCTGTGATGCCATAGCACTCAACCAAGGGCAAGAAAGTGAGACTCTGTCTCTCAAAAAAAAAAAAAAAAGACCTAAATTATATCATCAATAATCTAAAATATGAAAGGGTAGAATAAAATTATAGTGCCCCTCATGCAGTCAAAGTTAAGATGTAATAAGTAGAAGACATTTTATGTAAGCTTATGGTATCCACAAAAGGAAAATCTGTATGTGATTTACTATGAAAGTTTTGAGATAGACTGCATTATGGTCCATTATTTCACTTCCAAGAAACACAGTCAAAAGTGTTCTTTCTGATTCACTGTGCAAGTGTCAACTGCCTGACTTATCTGTGTTGCTGGGAGGGTTTCATTTGTTAATATCCACACAGATTTTACATTTATTGAATTTTGTGTATCTCAAAACTTTTGTAATGACCTACATAGAAGATATACAAACAATTAAAAGAAAGGAATCAAGTATAGTATCACAAAATTCATCAAAGCACAAAGGAACATAGGAAGAGGCAAAAGGACCAAATAAATAAATAAATAAAATACTTATAAAAAATTAAGACAATGACAATAGTCTAAATTCCTACTTTTAAGGATTACATTAAATGTAAATGGGTTAAAATTTCAAAATTAAAGACATAGAGCAGACAATAGATAAGAAAACAAGATCTAATGGTTTGCTACATGAAAGAAACTTACTTTAGCTTTCAGGACACAACCACAGGCTAAAAGTGAAGGAATAGGAAAAGATATACTAGTGCAAATGATAACAAAAGAGAACAGGGCAATTATACATATAGAAGATAAAATGAATTTTAAGTCACAATCTATCACAGGAGAAAAGGTCATTGTATAATTATGAAAAGGTTAATCCATCAGGAAAATATTACTACCATAAATATTTATGCAGAAAACATCAGAGCACCTAAATACATAAAGCAAATAGTAACATAACTGAAGGGAGAAAAAAAACAGTAACATGATATTAGTAAGGAACTTTAATATCTCACTCCTAATAATGGCTAGATCACTCAGAAAGTAAATAAATAAGAAAACATCAAGCTTGAGCACCACTGTGGAATAAATGGACCCAACAAATATAAGCAGAACATTCCATCTAAGAGCAGCAGAATACAAAATCTGCTCAAGTATACATGAGACATTCTCTAAGATAGATCATGTATCAGGCCACAAAACAAATCTTTTTTTTCTTTTTTTTTTTTTTTGAGACAGAGCCTCAAGCTGTCCCCCTGGGTAGAGTACCGTGGCATCAAAGCTCACAGCAACCTCCAACTCCTGGGCTCAAGCGAGTCTCCTGCCTCAACCTCCCAAGTAGCTGGGACCACAAGCGCCCACCACAAGGCCTGGGTATTTTTTGGTTGCAGCCATCATTGTTATTTGGCAGGCCCAGGCTGGATTCGAACCCGCCACCTTAGGTATATGTGGCTGGTGCCTTAGCTGCTTGAGCTACAGGCGCCAAGCCCACAAAACAAATCTTAACAAATCTTAGAGGACTGAAATCACATTGAGCATCTTTTTCAACTGCAATGGTATGAAACTAGAAATAAGAATAGAAGGAATTAAGTAAAATTCACAAATACATGTAAATTAAATTGAACAAAATGTGTCAAAGAAATCAAAAGGGGAATCAAAAACTACCTTGAAATAAACAAAAATGAAACTATAATACCAAAAGTTAGGAGATACTGTAGAAGCAGTTTTATGTGGAAAGTCTATAGCTATAAACATCTACTTTAAGAGAACAGAAAGAACTCAAAACAACAACCTAACTATAACTCAAAGGAACCAGGAAAAAAAAAAAATAAACAAATTAATCCCAGAGTTTAAGTAAAAATAGAATAAAAAGATCAATAAAACTGAAATTTTTTGTGAAAAAATTTAACAAACTCTTAGCTCAATAAAACAAAAAAAAAGGACTCAAATAAAACTGTAATTGAAAAAAGAGACATTACAAATGATGCCACAAAATTAAAAAGGATCATAAAAAGCTATTATGAACAATTATATGCCAACAAAATGAGAAACCTAAGAGAAATGGATAAATTCCTAAAAATATATAACCTATCAAGACTGAATCATGAAGAAATAGAAAATATGAGCATACCATTAATAAGGAGATTGAATCAGTAAAGAAAAACCTATCTACAAAACAAACCCAGGACCAGGTGCCTTCTCTGGTGAATTCTATAAAACATTTGAACAAGATTAACATCAATCCTATCCTGGTCAAATATTTCCAAAATTGGAAGAAGGGAGAATAATTCAAACTTATTACCCTAATACCAAAGCCAGATAAGGATAATAAAAAGAAAATTACAAGCCAATATACCTATTGAATATAGATGCAAATATCCTAGCAAACCAAATTTACAAAGGCACATTAAAAGGATCACATACCATGATCAAGTGGAATTTGTCACTGTGATGCCAGGATGCTTCAACATACGCAAATCAGTAAATGTGATACACCATATCAATAGAAGGAAGGACAAAATCAATATGGTCATCTCAGTAGATGCAGAAAAAAATGCTAGGTGAAATTCAACATCCTTTCATGATGAAAATTCTCAACAAAACGGCTCTGTGCCCATAGCACAGTGGTTACAGTGCTAGCCACATACACTGAGGCTGGTGGGTTCAAACCCATCCCGGGTCAGCTAAAGCAACAACTGCAACAATAACAACAAAAAATAGCCAGGTGTTGTGGGGGCGCCTATAGTCCCAGCTACTTGGGAGGCTGAGGCAAGAGAATGACTTAAGCCCAAGAGTTGGAGGTTGCTGTGAGCTATGATACCACAGCACTCTACCAAGGGCGACATAGTGAGACTCTGTCTCAAAAAAAAAAAAAACCAAAAACTCAACAAATTAGATATAGAAGGAATGTTCTTTGATATAATAAAGGCCATATGTGGTCATAATAATGCCCAAAGCTAACATTATAACTCAATGGCAAAAAGCTGAAAGATTTACATTTACATTAAGACTGGAAACAAGAATGTCTACCTCACCACTTCTATTCAACATAGTACTGGAAGTCCCAGTCAGAGAAATTAGACAAATAAATAAATAAATAAAAGACATTCATACAGAAAAAGAAGAAGTAAAATAGTCTCCATTTACAGATGACATAACCTTACAAAGATAAAAGACTTCATTTAAAAAAAACTGTTAGAACTAACAAATAAATGTAGTAAAGCTGGAGGATAAAAAGACTCCCTTGTATAAGATTGTATAGGACATGCATATACACACTCTCCCGCATACTTCAGATCATCTCTAGATTACTTAGAATACCAAATAAAACTTAAATGCTATGAAAAACAAACCTGTTAGAACTAACAAATAAATGCAGTAAACTGGACGATACAAAATCAACACACAAAAATCAGTTGTATTTCTATAAACTAAAAATGAACTATCTAAAAATGGAATATACCATTTCACTTACAATAGTATCAAAAAAATAAAATGCTTAGAATCAATTTAAACAAGGAGGTGAAAGATTTGTGCCCTGAAAACTACAAAATTAATGAAAGAAATTGAACAGGACAAGCACAAACAGAAATATACCCAAGTTTATAGACTGGAAAAATTATTATTTTTAAAATGTCATACTACTCAAAGCAATTTATAGATCCAATGTAATCCCTACCAAAATTCCAATCCCATTCTTCACAGAAATGGAAATGATAGTTAATAAAATTTGTATGGAAATACAAAAGACCCTAACTACCCAATGCAATCTCAACAAAGAACAAAGCTGCAAGAATCACAATTCCTTGGCTCGGCGCCTATAGCTCAACCGGCTAAGGCGCCAGCCACGTACACCTAAGGTGGCGGGTTCGAATCCCCAGCC